GTTTTTGTCTGATTTCAATATAACTTGGCACACAAGTAGAATACTCTAAGATACATAATTCTGTTTATTGAATTTTAATTTTGATGAACGGTGTTGCCGTGGTTACTAAAAATAGAAATGTCTGTAAAATTGTTTCAAAATGCTACTCCTCCTACAGTTTTGGTCTGATTTTAGTATTACTTGGCACACAAGTAGACTACACTAAGAACATAAAGAGACTTTATCAACGATCATTATTCTATTTAATGCTGTTTATAAAGTTTCAAATCCCAGCTACTGAAGAACTTTCTCTGCCTTTGCTATAAGTTCAAACCAGTAGAGCTTCAGTCTCGACAGAGACTTCTGGTTTTGTTTTATTATATTGATACATGTCTAAGGTGGATGTTGTCCTAGGTGGTGCACCACACTAGGTGAATGTGTAGATAGTAACTGATCATTACTATTATTGCACATTAGTACCTCAGTTGTCTAGGGCTGGGCCGGACTGTAGCTGGACCTCAGTTGTCTAGGGCTGGGCCGGACTGTAGGTGGACATCAGTTGTCTAGGATTAGACGGGACTGATGGGGAAACAGTTGTCTAGGGCTGGGCCGGACTGATACTTTTGTTGATTTCAATCAACTACTGGAATAAAATCATAGATGGATAATTGATGTGACTTCCTGATCCTAGAAGGAATCTACTAATACAATGAAAAATTAGACCTGACTGATTGACTGACTGATTCCTTAGGAACCCCTTTTTATCAACTATATACATTAAATTCTAAGTTAACAAGAATTTCCAATCTTGTACTAGTTTATGCATAGGGAGGTTGTATACCATATATCTAGAATGAACGGTTGACTTTGTTTTATAGCAAAATAAAATCAATCCTAGATAAGGCCATTTTTGGCATGTTCATCTATACAAATACTGTACAAGCACTAGTTAAGGAAATAATCTCTTCTATAGGCAACATGAGACCATCAGAGCGTGAGATATGTTGTAGCCTGTGCCACAAGATTTTCAAGAGCAGGAGAGCCCTGAAAAATCACCTAGCTGCGGCTCCACATAGGAAGTTATCAGTAGTATGTGTGTGGTGCCCAGCCGAGAAGCCATTTCGACGTATGGTAGATTGAAAAGAACACATCCTGTTTGACCACCGATCCAGACTAGAACTCATGCCAAGAAACTTTTTAAGCGAAAATAATGGGTATTGGCTGGCCTACCATCCGGAAATCTATTCTGAGGTCATAGTCCCAACTCCAGAAGACTCCATAGAAGCAATCAAAGCTAGAATGGAGGTGCTGGCCGCCGTCCAGTCCTGGAGAAGACCTTCCAAGTCAGCTAGAGAATGGGAGGAAGGATGGAAGAGGCCTACCAGTACCAGAGTTCAGCCACATGGTAAGAGGGAATACAGCCCCAGCCGCCCAGGTGTGTTAGAAGATCTAGATCTGGCAGGGATAAATCTTGGCACGGGATCAAATACTGCATACTTAAAGCTAGAAATGGGTGACATAACTGTATGGTATAAGCTGAGCTGTTGGATGAAGTCTTGCGCGACAAGCGTTCGATGGATAACCTCCTCAGACACATGGCACTGATACCAAGTACAACCCAGTGCAGGCCAGACGACATATCATATAAAAAAGTTGACCTTGATTCGGAAATATCAACAATCGCAACAAAGTTAGGGTTGGAAGGGAGATTTCTTAAGGTAATATGGAAAGCAGAGTCAGATTTTTGGAAGAGGAAAGACCTACACTGGCCGATACTCCAGAGAGGACCCCATTAACACCGCTGAGAAGCCCATCAACATCGGGGATAATATTAGCTGAGGAGAGGGAGACAGAAGTAGTAAGGGCACGAGAGGAGATAGAGAGAGAAGCAATCAAGAGACGAGAGGAGATAGAGAGAGAAACAGTGCAGAGGCAAGCAGAGGAGATAGAGAGGGAAGCAGCAAAGAGACGAGAGGAGATAGAGAGAGAAACAGTGCAGAGACGAGCGGAAGAGATAGAGAGAGAAGCAGTGAGGAGACGCAAGGAGGAGATAGAGAAGGAAGCAAAAAGGCTAGCGAAGGAGATGGTGAGAGAAGCAGTGAAGAGGCGAGCAGAGGAAACAGAGAGAGAAGCAGTGAAGAGGCGAGCAGAGGAAACAGAGAGAGAGGCAGTAAATAGACGCAAGGAAGAGATGGAGAGAGAAGCAGCTAAAAAAAACATCGGATGAGCTGGCAGATGTGCGAGAATTACCTAAGGGAGATCAGCAAGAATCATCTAAAGAAGTAGAGTGTAAAAAGGATAAGAAAGCAGAACCAAGGACGGAAGAAACAGATATTAGCATACAAAGAGCTAGGGAATTGTTGAAAAAAGGGTGTCTCCCCCTATTCCCAGCAGCGCCAAGAGAGTGGGAGGATGAGGAAGTAGTCCAAGATTTACGGAGCCCATCTGAGATCAAGTGGCCTCCTAGAGGGTGGAGACATATGACGCCGGAGATCAGGACATGACATTGGGAATTTTTGGCCGTAGCGAAGGAACTCTCCCTAGCAAATTCGACGCCCACAAGCAAGGAAGATTTACTGCACAAATACAATTTCCTGGCCCTCCCTGGCTCCAGTCCACCAACAATTAGTAACATCAGGTTAAAGTCCAAATTCTACCTATTTGCCACAGTAAGAGAGGTTTCGAAAGGTAAAGTACATCACGACACCAAACTCTTACTACACATGCTCAGCAGATAGAAAAACGACGAGATGACTCCCTCGACAGCCTAATTGATGAGATCGATAGAGCAGGAATCCAACTTAGACTAGGTGAAGAAGATTGAATATTAATTAAGACTAAATTCAGGAGAATTTGACTTTTAAGTGGGGGGAAGTGTAATATTATGGACCTAGTACTCGACTGTGTTATGTATGGGGGTGGATTTCAGCTTAGTGTTATTGTTATATTATAGTGGTTAGTCACCATATAATATGTATGGGGGTGGACTTTAGAATATATTGCATAATTAATACTTACAGGCTTGTGTAGTATATTGTCTTAGTGATGTAAAGTAGCATCCAGTTGTAAATTATTAGAAATGTTTTATTGTTCATGTTATTTTGTCATTTTATCGTTTACTTGGATTATTGATGCAATACACGTTGCACTTTGACATTGTTATGTAAACAAATGCTGTTTTTGTGTTACTAGACGATCTGGTGAGATATTGTTGAACAGACAGTAAGGGACAGTGATATTAAGATCTTATATGTCAGTTTTTCATCATTTTGTACCATATTACGACTGTAATTTACTTACTTTTTCCAGTATTATCACGTGCATTGTATATTGAGCGCCTGCCATCTTTCTTACGAAAGAAATAGTCATGTGACATAAGCATTGTTGTTTTACAATTGATACGATCAAAATAACACTGTCCGTGTTCTCAAATATTTATAATTGATAGTTTAATGTTGTTTTATTGCAGTATTGTCATTTAGTTATGTTTTATTTGACGAAATGTTTTGGAACTTGAATGTGTAGCGCAGTACTTATGTGTTTACATTATTGTCCGGTATTACTACGCCGTGGATTGTGCGTGTCCGTTTTATTACAGATTGTTTGTTGAACTTATTTTATTATGTATATCAAATAGAATTTATAGCTCCTACCTTACATGTAGAACGGACATTTTCAGCGACATTATTTTCTTTGTTTTATACATTATGCATGTAAAAAGTAGCTCCGTGAGGCTCCAAAAAGGACAATTATTCACTGGTTTGTTGTGATCACGTGACCATTATAGAAGGTTATATATATGAGCGCCGAGCGTCAGTTTCATCATCACAATACGTCATCAACATCACTGACTGTTTAGCTGTAAATATCACTAGCGACTTAGGTATGATAAAATAATGTAAATTCTAATACAACTTAAGTAGCCCATAATTTCTCCACCGCACGGACACCGCAATCCACTGTATTCTATTAGTACAAAGATGTTTAATTTATTTTAACTTATCATACCTACGAATGGGCGTTGTCTACACTACGGTTAGGACTTACACTCATAGATGTACCGACTGTTTTTGTTATGTTTCATTGAGATCTTCAATAAATGAAATACTTGAAACGAGAAATGGAACTTGGTTATATTTACAAGGATGAAAGTAAATTATCAAGGGTGTTTAAATACATGCGACGGGCTGAGGATGCCCCCCCCCTTTTTTTCTATATATGGACGGATGTCATGAGTAGTCCTGATAAAAATATAATTAACTTAATTTACACGGGATGGAAACACTGTAAGCTGATTGGCATTTGACAGGGTGCTGAGGAAGCTTACAGTAGACTGAATGGAAAGCCTGGACTGTCTTATCGTAGCAAAGTTAAATTCATGATGTGCATTTATCTTTTTGTGATGTATTTTTGTCATTAAATGATGTGCTTTTATCTTTATATGATGTGCTTTTGTCATTATGTGGTGTATATAGGTCATTACGCAGGCTGCTTTTATCTTTACGTGATGTGCTTTTGCCATTAAGTGACGTGCTTTTATCGTTGAGTGAAGTGCTTTTATCATTATGCAATGTGCATATATCATTATGTGATGTTCTTTTGTCATTATTAGGGCTACGACGATAAATCGATTCTGTGTAAGATCGATATGAAGAAATATCAAAATATTGCAAAAAATTATTGAACATATAAAATAAAGAAACCTGTATATAAATATAGATCATATGAAATAAAAATAATTAAAACCACTTAAGTAAAATGTTGTTTCAAAACATATAAACAATTATTTTGAATAAATTATTCTTATTTGGAGAGAAATATTTTGTTATTTCAATGCAAAAAAAAATTTAATAACCAATTAAACATATCGTGATACATATGGTATCGTGGCTCAAATATCGTGAAACGTATCGATATAGAAAAAAGATGTATCGTCCCAGCCCTACCAATTTCTGATGTTTATGTATTTTTAAAAAAAAATTTAATAAATTATGCTAGAGATATACATTTCTTTCATTAAGCATATCTAGCGGTATGTGCAAGAACAATATTCTTTCAACCACAAAGCTGACAAGTGGATACAAATCGGGTCAAGATGTTTCCAAGCCACTTATTAGTACGTCACGCAAAGGGAAATGTAGCCATGGTTCCAGCGATGATGATTCCCGACACAGTACAGCGACTGGTGGAATCTACAAAGGAAGGTCGACTTCTGCGCATGCTCCTCACTATCACTTGCATTTTCAAGCATTTGAAGCTGCAAAGCAAGCATCCGTTTATTTTTTGTCCGATGAAGGTTTGTTTTGTTTGTTTGTATGTTATTAACGTCTCTCTCGTTAATTTTTCACTCATATGCAGATGCCACCATTTGCGGTGAAGAGCTTCTAATTTTTTCTTGTACTCGGCATTCAGGGCCATTTAGAAGTGAGGGGTCTTTTTCATGCCAGCACCAACTGCGACACGGGACCTTCTCGTCTGAAGGACCGGTCTCCACGTCCCATAGTGGGATTCGAACCCGTGACGTACGGATCAACCCCTTACTCTGCGAATTTAGAGCAAACGCTCGTACAACTGCGCCACGTGGGCGACCACCGAGGTAAGTAAGTTTCAAATGACTAAAAATGGACTTTATCATGTAGCGCATTGATTTTTTATAGTGTCTTCTCAAAAACACAAAGTATACAATTCTGTCAATTTGTTACAATCCTGGGAAAAGAGGTCAACAAAATTAATTGCATTTTATAAGTGCAAATACCGATGTAGATTCCCTGTCTACTAAAGTGTTTACCGAGTACTACATAAACTGAAGAATCGGTAATAAAACGGCATACAATAGTCAAGTATACGACGAAGCCGTATGTTGTATTTAAGTCGACCCTGGTTCCTTGCTATAAACTGTTTACTGTGTGAATAGAGAAAGAACATCATCCCGTAGTTAGAACCGGGGTCTGCTCTAGAGTTGCTAGTAAGGAGTTTATCCTTGCGTCGCAGGTTCGAATTCCTTTGTTGGACGTGGAGACCATTCGGATGAGACCGTATAAACCGAGGTCCCGTGTCGCAGTAGGTGTTGGCACGAAAAAGATCCCTCCCTGCTCAATGGCACTCGGTGCCGAGTATAGGACAAAATTTGCAGCTCTCCACCCGCAAGTGATAGCGTCTCCATATGAGTGAAATAATCTCGAGAGGGACGTTAAACAATCAATCAATCACTTACGAACTTCATAATAATATTTTTTCTTTTTTTTTTATCTTTTCCACTGCATTTTTAAAAAAAATTTAATTTGCTAATTACAGAATAAAAGCTTCATTGCTGCGTTGTTTTTTTTGTTTTTTGTTTTTTTTTTAATTTTGGTTCATATTTTCAGACAACGGACTAATGAACATTCTTGGGTTTACTCTCTTCAAAGAAGTACTTAGTATTAAAACTAAACAGGAGAATTCCGCTATCAAATCTCTCTCTATCACTTTCGTTATTGACGTTACTGGTTCCATGCGTGACAATATTGAGAGCGTGAGAGAAGCAACGACAAGATATGTGGAGCTTCTACGAATATCAGAAAACGTACCCGAAAAATACATCCTTGTGACCTTCAGTGACCCAGGTATTTTATCATTAAATTTATTCATTTTTTAGTGAATAAGTATTAACATAAATGTACAAACGGTTGCTGTGGCCTTCCAACTCGGCATTTTATATCGACGTATTGTCATATTTCAATTCTTATGTCGACACGATATAGTATACTGGTGAGCTTGAAGTAAAATATTCCACGGTGTCTGAAACATATATTTCATATTTAAATATTAGTAATTTACTAGATGTGAATGCGTTTAATTCATTAAGACGTTAATGGTTGCTTTATGAAAAACATGATGACTGTAACTTTTCAATCGTCAACTTCCCTTACTTGTGCAGCAATCCTTGTCATCTGCATTTGGAGTTTATATCTCTCAGTAGATTCGATACGGCAGAGCATGTTCTACGTATGAACAGAATCTAAAACAAGGTATATATTATTGACTAACAAGTTGATGAGGCAAGAATATCAGCAGTCTCGTTTAAACTCATCAATTCGTATGTTCTATGATTAATATGATGGCTTTGTTAGCAAATACAATCATTAAGTCAAATGCTGAATGACATTTTTTTCATACTGGTTGTTCCATCATTATTACACTCTAAATTGTCGACGTATTTTTCTATTGTTTCCTGAACATAATGGAGCACTCGGCGAGTGTGACTGGTCGGCAGGGGATATTCACTCCTATTTTGTTATGCTAAATAAACTGAGCTCGAATACTGTTCCGTTATCCCCACATGTTTCATACAAATTAATGATGATATTTCACAGTTAGTTTAGAAACTGCAGGAGACCACAAACCCTGATGAGATGGTAAATTGGTTGTCGAGCCTTTCAGTGGATGGGGGTGGAGACTGTCCTGAATATTCTTTATCTGGTTTAATAACGGGTAATTAAAAGCCAGGAAATTGCTAAAAACCTTCAAATTTGTTCAATTGTTTGTAAGTCGTAAAAATAAATGCGAAATTTAAATTATCAAAGTATTATGAGGCTGAATGCATCTTTTTATAATCCTTAATACCGGGATATATTTCGTTATAATAACGATTTGTTTAAAAGTTAAGATTGATTCCTTATGTAAAGAAAAGTCTTGATTGATTAAAAACGTTCTTGGTTTGTTCAATCACCGTTATTGTGTTTAAGGGGCGACAATGTCGAATAATAAATCAACCGTATACATTATAACTGATGCACCTGCAAAAGACGAAAGCAGAGAGGCAGAAGTGATATCAGTTTTACAGAGGAAAAACTTAACTCCGAAATTTCTCATAACACCTGAATGTTCAGTTAGGAAAAAGCGTAAAGCAGGTTTGTTTCTGTCAATGTCCTAAGAATGCTTGCACATTTCTTTTCTGTAAAAAGACTCAGAAATTGTTTTATCATATATAAAGGTAAAAGATTATTATAAAATTTTAAATTCAATTTTTTCAGCAGGACGACACAAGCGCTCTTCTTCCGTATACGATCGGATAGCTCAGGCCACAGGTGGGAGTGTTAACAGAGTCCAAACCTCGGAATTACAAGCTATTGTGGAAGCAGATTTAACGGTACAAACTTTAGAAAAACAAATGCATCTTGTAACGATATTCCGAGTTGAAAATCCCCAGAAGCTAAATATAGGTTACAAATTCGAAAAGATTAAGATATTTGAGTGATATATCTAACTAGATGAATTTTTTTGGACACATGTACCATCTAATACTGTATGTATAATGATACTCAGTATTTTGTATAGGAAATTTTGAAAATTACTGTTCTTTTCTAGATTTTCATGTTTTAAGGATGTCGATCATTTTCTCCATGCATATCACGTAAAATTGAAATAACTGGTCACTCATAGGTATTTGGGATTAAAGAGGGCATTCTTCTATATAAAATTTTGTGGCGAATTTTGAAATTACTGACCACTCCTTGATAATTTTCTTTAGGGAGATATCCCCTCCTCTGTTGCTGTGATCAGATGGATAACTATGCAAGCCAGTGACCCAAGTGTTTTTAACATTGAAGTTGATAGATCCGTTTTATATTTGAGTATTTTTATTTCTGGTTTGAGGAACACAAGCCATCATGAAATTAAGCAGTAGTTAATTAACAAAGAGGTTAAAAAACCCAATATCTGTACATTTGCGTGAACGATTTGTTTTGGGGAAGTAACATTTTTTTAAAATAAAAATTCAAATAATTTAAATATCAATAAATGTGTAACATTGGAAAGAAAGAGAGAGAAATAGAATGACAATTGAAAACAATTTTTTTACCGGCTAAATTTTTTTAATTTTTTTTTTTTATGCGAAAAAAGGGGAGATAACTCTTAGCAAAATTCAAGGTAAGTATATATTTGGAACAAAATTATACATACTTATAGTAATAAATGTGAAGTACTTTTAGCTCTCCCTTGAAACCTAAATTGTGAAGTATAATGTTTTTAACAAGATGGGCTAAATAATTTGTTTAATTTTAACGATTTTTTGTTAGATACTTCTGTCAATTTTAATTCTTCTGAAGAACTTATCCTAAACCACGTTGGGAGCACGGGTACAATTTCAATAAAGGTATTTGTGTTTCAAAATATAAACAGTAAACAAAATTGAAGACTCGTTGCGAGCAAAGAGGGCATCCCTCAGAAAAAAAAAATGTAAAATTTGAAAAGTAGCAAAATTTTGAAATAAATTACTGACCACTTCGTGATATTTTCCATTAACGCGCATACCATTATGCTATAATTTCCCTCTAAATATACTTTTGTATACTTTTGCAGTGATCAGAATTATGGACTATTCATAATTTGCAAGCAAGTAAATATTCGCGCCTTTTCAACATTAAATAGTGTGATAGCTTCAATGAAATTAAATAAATAAAATTTGATGGCCTTTTTTTATTTCTGGTTTGAGTATACACACATTGTACACATTAATCTGAAATACCCTAATGGTGAGTGTTAAAATGTGTCGAGTAACATTTTAGTATACTAGTATAGGTTAAAAAACCCAATATCTGTAGATTTGTGTGAACGATAATTTGTTTTGTGGGTCACTAGTAACATTAGAATTAACATTTTATTTAACAGGACATACTAACCAATACTAAAACAACTTATATGTGTAATGATACTATTAATATTCCAAAAATAAATGAAAAATATTGAAACAAAAATTGTGACTTTTTTAATGTTTTTAACAAGAAAGGTCGCGTCCTGGATAGTGAATATTTGTAATTGAAAGTTTCATGTTGATATTTTTTGTTGAGATTAACCGTAGACAAAATGTCATTTTAATTCAGAAAATGTCCCGTAACTTGGCACCAGAAGAAATCCAAAAAATCTCTCGGAAAAAATAACTTAGATAACAACACATAATTTCTGTAAATTTCATGAAAATACAATTTCGAGAAATGCACAAAAAGGTACGGAAAAATAATAATAATAATGTGTAATAAAAATATAAACAGTAAACAAAATTTAAAAAAAATCAACTGAACAATAACAAAGTTGTCTGTGATACTATGTACTTGTATTATATCAAAAATATTCCACAAACTTTAATACAATATATATTATTATGTTTATTGATTTTATTTTTAACATTTCTGTTCAAAAATGACTTTACCTTTTATATATAATCGCATTTCCATGTTCCTAAATTAAATCTACATCATAGCCTTTAATTTTTCCTAGTCACCCGAAAAAGGACAATGGTCATTGGAAAGATTATCTAGCGATCTCTGGATTGTGAATGTAACCTCAAATAGCAAATTCGATTTTACGCTCACTTTAAACGAGCGCCTAAATGGAATCCCTTTTCCTGTGAAAGGGAACCCGATATCAGGTAACTCTCTCTCTCTCTCTCTCTCTCTCTCTCTCTGAATGAAGAGTAAAAGAACGATTTTTTTAAAATAATTCAGTTCTCTTTATATTACGAAAACGCAATTTCAACAGAAGTTATCTGCAAGAGGCTTGGTAAAATGTAGGCATTGTACGTTTGAATAGTGAATTTGATAGATAATCTTATATGGCAGCTGTGACTTTTTTGTCGTAGATGAGAATTACACCTTGATAGCAGATTTGGAGAACTTTCCAGCGAACTACTCCGTGTCTTCCTTACTGTTCGTTGACGAGGAAGGTAAATCCATCCTTGAATTGATACCCAGCCTTCTCAGTATAACGCCAAGACTCCAGTATCTTGTTGACTTCAACCTTAACTTCTCAAACAAGGTAATATCAGGCCACCGATTAATCAATAGTCTGCTTCCTAAATAAATATATTTATAAAATAAATGTTTAATACCTGATTTTCTTAAAGGCATCTGGAGTACAACTTCACGGGAAAGACTCTGAGGGTGATCTGTATGTACGATCCTCGCCATTTGAGATAAACCCAGTGGACATAAGTTTGTCCGTGGTACCATACACAGGTTGTTGGAAAATACCTTGTCAAATAATACTAGTAGTCTGTTTTCAAATTAAACAAATACATGTAGTATCAGAAATTTGAGTCGAGTCAAATGAATGTTAAATTTAAAATCTCTGCAGGTGAGCTACCGCTCTTCAAAAACGAGAAACTGTTTTACACAACCACAAACCATGGGAGTATCGACAAAACTGTTTCCGTTACCGTCACTGATGACAGAGGTTACATTGTTGGTGGTGGTAGTTCTGTTGCTTATCTGATACCTGCCGGAGAATCTGTGACTAGAAGCTTTGAGATCCGCGGAACCGAGGCTCTTTCAATCGTGTGAGTTTTAGAATTGACTTTTGTAACTGTGAGTTTATACGTGTACAGTTGTATATATATTCTCAAAATAGCGCACAAATTTTTAAGATTTTTGTCACCTTCTTTGATTTCAATATACATGTAATTTTGCAGGACTGTAAATATCACTATCAGCGAATCTTCCGAAAGTCTCCAGAGTCTTAGACAGAGTTTTGTGGTTAGTTTTGATATCTTCAAATATTTATGGGTTCTTTTTTTTAAAAATCTTAATGTTTTTAATCCTAATAGTTGCTTTTATCATGTATTTCCTAACATAATGTCACTTAATAGGTCAAGTCACTGTTTTCGTTTGTTGTCGTACATTGTATATTTTCCGACATCAATCGTTTGTTAACATTCCAATATGTCCTTCTGTTAGTCAATCGCTTGGATGTAGTCATCCATCCCTCATCTGCCACTCTTTTTACACCATTGAATGCACTATAATTTATAAGCACTGAATATCAATGTAGAGTGACATTGTTCATCACCTATTCTGTTTTGATTGGACACATTTGGGGTTTCCAATCGGAAATCATGGACATTGCCTGTAAAAGAATGACTTCACTTAAGTACGTCATTTGGAACCTTTTCGGCTACCCATTTTAAGCTTAACATTACAATATATCGCTAAATTAATATATGATTTATGTGCAAGCATATGGTTTTGATATTTATCTCTACAAATTTTTGTCATACGTATTTCTATAATTACAGAAAATGTAATTGAAAAGAACATGTAAAAGCCTTAAATTCCGGAAATTTGAACGGGACCACTTTCGAATCTAAGGTATCCGCAAATAGGCGGAGACATTTAAACCGCGTGGTTGTGGAATGTAAACATTAGCACATATGATTTTTTCAAAATATGAATTGAAATGGAGAAGAGAGAGAGAGAGAGAGATCGTGTTGATTTTATGGTGCACAATTATTAAATGATTCTAATGTTAAGGGATGGGGTAGATGTATCGCTCTGCTGACCATAATACAGAGGCGACATAAGCCTATACAGGTACTTACTAATGACACTGTCAACACCAGAATTCTTTCAAAACACCCCTAATGAAAAGCATTAAGTTAAATAAAAGACATATTATCTTCAAACCCTATTAAAATTTGCGCAAAAATCTTCCATAGTTTGAAGTTGGAAGTACGATAGATAATGTCACAACAGAGACTAAAACACAATGAAATTTTCAATGAAAGCGTTAGCGTATCGAACAGCAGAAGGTCATGTGAGAAAGGTGATTATAATATCAATCGCTGATGCTCGGTGACCGGTTAATTTAGTAGCTATCTCGACCCTAGTTTGGGGACATTTTTTTTAAAAATTAGATATGAGCCGCAACTTGGCCAACATTGTCCTTTGAATATGTTTTAGTTTAAGTTAAAATACACATTCTGTGCAAATAAAAAAAATGGCCAAGTTGCGGCTCGATGTAAACAAAGTCGTTGAAAACTGGTATGCATATGAATAACAATAGAAATGGGACAGAACTGTTAGACCCCCGTCTCAAAAGCTTGTGTCGCTCGGCATTATTTAATACTTTCATGTAATAAAATATACCAAAACCTGCTATTGAGACATTGTTTAATACCTATAAAACATAAATTTAATGAATTTTGGAATTTTATTTTGCGCAAAACATCGGGATCCAACTGTCATAGCTTAAGTGCAGTCATTCTTTGGGTTACCCTGGCATATCCCTTATTCATTCTTACACCTTTAAAATTTTTAATGAGATCTCTATAACATAAAGCCATTATGTACTTTCTATTTTGTTTTGAAAGGACATATTTGGGATTTCCAATAGCAAAACATGGACTTTGCAATTCTTGGTACTCTTAATTACGTATGTGTGTATGTCTCCAATTGATTCGGTATGCAACTGACAATCCATTGGCGTCGGGAGCAAATTGAAAGGGGGGGTCTAAGTGCAAAAAATTGTTTAAACAAAAAAAAAAAGATAAAAAAAAGAATATGTCCATTTCCCAAACACGAAAATCCTATTTTGTGGAGTTGGGGGGAATAGGTTCGAACTTCTTTCAGTACCAAGTCTTTGGAAAGCGGGGAGCTAAACCTACGCAGCAATGTTCAAAGCCTATATACTAAGTCTATCTTTGGGGAAAAAGGGGGAGGGGGCCAAGCCTCCGACGCCTAGATGCAATCAGGATTGGGTTCTGTTACTTTCAAATATCAAGTGCATTGATACTTTTTTCAATTACTTGTAATTGAAATCGCATTGATGTATACAAATGAAGATTTTTCCAGTCACACTGAAAGACCTTTTAGCTGATGTTGAGGTCGCTGGTACTAAGACTTTCAGACGTCTTTCCGTAGGTTTATTAAAGGTTCTATCTCAGTGGCAAGTCCGGATACATTCCTTTTCAATGGTGTTGAGGTGTGGGGGGGGGGGGGTAACAAAAACCAAGGGGAAAATTAGTTTTGCTTATCTTTGAAGGAGGCATGTCTTATTATTTGTTTTCTCCTTTCTCAACAAAGTCTTCTACCTTCCCTGATGTCTCATTTTAAATCTGTGATCTAATACAGCGGCAAAAATGAATGTCTCATTGTCTTCAAATGAAGAAAGTCTTGATTTCAAAGAGTTTGAGTGGATCATTTCATTTTGTTGCTATATATGGTGAAAATCTTGCGCCCCTATTGCTTTATGCTAAGTGATACAGAGATGGCCAAGCCTCACTTACATTTACCCTCTGTTCTAGAAGCAAAGTGACATGCTTAAACAGGTCAAGAATGGCAATTCTCCAAAAAATTTTCCTCTCAAGAACTAAAAGTTTATACCTTGTGTCAAAGCTGGTTTTTTACTCTCTGGTGCTTTTAATATGGACTTAAACATGTGAAGCTGGCAGTTCCAACTGGATATATTTGCAGTCTTATAGCTCTTCGAGCTAAACGCTAAACGAAGTTTCGGGGGTATATAGTTTTTGTCGTGTCTGTCTAGCTGTCTGTCTCTCTGTTTGTCTGTCCGCAAAAACTTTAACCTTATCCATAACTTTTGATTTAGTGGAGCTGTGACTTTCATATTTCACATGTGTATTCCTTGTGACAAGACCTTTCTTTAGGTACCACCAAATTTGACCTTCTGACCTTGACCTTGGAATTTGGCCCACTTTTATACAAAAAATTCAAATTTTTACTTTGGCCATAAATTTTAAACAGTGGATACCAGGACATTTATACTTCACACATATATTGTTTGTGACAAGACCTTTTACTGGATACCACCAACCTTGACCTTTTGACCTTGGAGATATAAGTACTAATAAAAAACTTTAACCTTGGCAATGATTTTTGAACGATAAGGACTATAGAGCTTTCATACTTCACATATGTAATCCTTGTAAGAAGACGCCAAGAGCTTTGACCCCTTGACCTTGGAGTTTGACCTACTTCAGAAAAATAAACCTTTACCATACCTTTTTAAAGGTAAGAGCTAGTGCTTTCATAATTTACATATTTATACCCCCGCTCCGAAGGAGAGGGGGTATACTGTTTTACCCTTTTGTATCTGTCTGTGTGTCCGTCCATAACAAATTTTCGTCGCAGTTTTCTCAGCAACTACTCATTGTAGATGCTTGAAATTTTAACACAGTCTTCTCTGCAGCATGCCATATGGTGGGATACATTTTTGCTCAAATCCGATGTCAACTTCCTGTTTGTCTGTGCGTCTATCCATTTCATACATAACAAATTTTCGTCCCATTTTTCTCAACAACTACTGATCGTATATGCTTGAAATGTTAACACAAATCTTCTCTGAGGCATACCATATGGTGGGATACATTTTTGTTCAAATCTGATATCAACTTCCTGTTTTTCTGTGCGTCTGTCCGTTTCATACCTAAATTTTCGTCGCAGTTTTCTCAGCAACTACTCATCGCAGATGCTTGAAATTTTTACACAATCTTCTCTGAGGCATTCCATACATTGGGATACATATTTGTTCAAATCCGATGTCAACTTCCTTTCTTTTGTGCGTCTGTCCGTTTCATACATAAAAAATTTCGTCGCAACTACTCATCACAGATGCTTAAAATTTTTGAAATTTTAACACAATCTTCTAGGAGGCATGCCATATAGTGGGATACATTTTTGTTCCAATCCGATGTCAACTTCTTGTTTGTCTGTGCGTCTGTCCGTTTCGTACATAACAAATTTTCGTCACAGTTTTCTCAGCAACTACTGATCGTAGATGCTTGAAATTTGAACACCATACATTTTTGTTAAAATCTTTCCAACTTTCTGTTTGTCTGTGTGTTTGTCCGTTTTATATATAACAAATTTTCGTTGCAGTTTTCTCATTAGCTATTCATAGCAGATGCTTGAAATTTTATTACACTCTTTGTTGAGGCATGCCATATGGTGGGATTAATTTTGATATGAATCTGATGTCAACTTCATATTTTTCTGAGTATAATTTAACTTGTGTATATTAACATAATAGTGCTTATTTACATCAGAGCGGGGGTATTACTAGTGAGCATTGGCTCACAGATTTCTTGTTTATCCTTGTGACAATACCTTTCATTTGATATAAAGACCTTTGACCTTGACCTTAGAGTTTGACCTACTTTTTAAAAATCTTAACCTTGGCAATAACTTTTGAACGGTTTGGGCTAGAGCTTCCATACTTCACATATGTATTTTTTGTAGCAAGAGCATTTATTGGATACCAATAACCTTGACCTTTTGTCCTTGACCTTGGAGATTTTCTGACTTATGAAAAAACATTAATCTTGGCAATAACTTTTGAAGAGTAAGGGCAAGGGCTTTCATACTTCACACATGTAATTCTTGTGATGAGACCTTTCATTCAATACCAATAACCTTGAACTTCTGACCTTGATCTTGAAGTTTAATATACTAATAAAATCTTTTTAACCTTGGCCATAACTTTTAGATGGTTAGGGCTAGGGCTTCCATACTTCAAACGTGATCTTTGTGGAAAGACCTTTCATTGGATGCCAATAAACATGACCTTCTGACTTTGATCTTGAAGATTTATGTACTTATGAAAAAAAACTTTAGCTTGGCCATAACTTGGGAACAGATGGTGATAGGGCTTTCATGTTTTACAGTTGTATTTCCAGATAGGATACCCTACTTTGGGTACCAATATATTAAACTTGCATCTAAGAAAAGTTTAATCTTCACTATGTTGCCATACGGGGGCATCAGTGTTTCACAAACACATTTTGTTTTTTATATTTTAATAATGTGGAAAGTTCTGTCTTGAAAATATTTGTTGTTTTGTATCACAGGTTTCCTCGGCAGTCCAACCTTCGTGCAGCATAACAACAGTAGATAATAACTGTAGTAACATGACATTAACTGCAAGAAACTGCAGTGACTTCCAGTGGCGAGGAAATGCTGTCGTTGAATACTCCGGAACAAATTTGTCGTCATTACATGTGTCCAGTTCAAGCGTCAGTGTGACACATAGTGGTTTGTCGGCCTTGTCAGGTCCTGTTGATGCAGAACTTGTGTATATACAAAGTATTACATGTGACCCCATGATGGTTATAATTCTCTTCATTAAAGTTCCTAAAATCTTGTGATGTATGTATATACAACGTATCACGAGGTGTATAATGATTTAAAACTCTATTCTTTGAAATTTATAGATGAATTTCGCCTAGATCTAACTGGCACATATATTTTATATTCATATTTTCGTATTGAAAATGCTTCCTATTTTTATGATGATAACTTTTTTGACAATTTTGCAGAGGTGACTGCTGTACTTCGTCCGTTGTTCTCAGTGCTGTTGATGTTGATGGTTACTTTTCTCAGTGTAGATTTCTCCTATATCCCGAAAATTGGGTTGCAAGTGCTTTCGTAACAGACACGTCTGAGCCGTTGAAATCAGTGGAGGTAAGTTTAAACTTGCTGTTAATTGAATGGAAATGAATGTTACTTAATTGTGAGAGCATTTTGCTGAAAAGAAATATTAATGCATTACTTTAAAATTCAGTCGATTTTGCAGCAATTTCAAGATCATCGTAACTACTAGTATATACATTTCTAAGATTTCAACTTGCTTTTCACAAGAAAAAATGTTTTAGGGGCAAGTAATACTTGCAATTTAAATTCAATTTTTCTTTTGCAGACAAGTATCAATATAGCTGTCGCGGGAGGAATAGTGGCTGCCCTAGTCGTAATATTTATTGTTTTATTAGTTGTAAGGAAAAACTGTTGCTCCTCTTGTAGGAAGACTACTCCTACGAATGATAAACCCAAACCTATCGTAGAATTGTTCTCAGAAAAACAGAACGATCATTTTCATTGCACTCCACCGGCGGATTCACGATACCCCACAAGTGCAAGAGCTGACTGGACATTTGAATATTCCAAACCATAACTCAAATAAATTGTAAAAAGATTAAAATCACATTCCAAATTAGTTTGAAGAATACTTCCGCTGCGTTATAGTATGTAATTTACTTTATTGGTGAACCCAGTAAAAATATTCATAATTAACCTTCTTCTGTGTTAGAAAACTGTTTTCTCTTGTGTTTTATCCACTGTGAAAAATGAGTACATCAAAAGGTCTCAGTGATATTGGCAATTCAACTTTTTCCATTGAAATCATATAGAAAACACCATCCTCTGATATTTTGCATGTAAGAGTATCTGGTAATGTACCCCAAGAAAAACTGTTAAGGTAGGAATAATCCAATGATAATTTCTTGGGGGGAAATATGAACAATTGAGAACTGTTCTGTACGTCTGAACTTGACTGACTTACGTCCAGCTTTGTGAATAGATGTCCAGTTTCTTTATATAGAAATTATAATGTTTAAGAAATAGTTGTGCTCAAAAAAGCGGATGGAACAAATTGTCTCAATAAGAAGAGGCCGATGGGCCACATCACACACCTGAGAATATTTGACCATGCTGTTCTTTAACAGATTTCCCCCTTTGTTATACCGAGTGTGACCACGCCCTACCCCCAGAAATCATGCTTTGGACAATTTAGAATCTACACTATGCCAAGATGCTTTTATTTAAGTTTAAGCTTTTCTTGCCCAATGGTTCTTGAGAAGAAAATTTTCAAAGATTTTTCCATATATATTTCAATGTAATACTTGGATTCCCCATTATTGCTTCACCCTAAACCCAGGGGTCATGATTTGGACAATTTAGAATCTACACTATTCCAGAATGCTGACATAAGTTTCAGTTTTTAAAATTTTTTTCCTATATATTTCAATGTAAAGCATGGATTCTCTATTGTAGCCCCGCCCTACCCCCGGGGGTCATGATTTGAACAATTTAGAATATACACTACCCCAAGATGCTTTCACGTAAGTTTCAGCTTTTCTGACCTAGTGGTTCTTGAGAAGAAGATTTTTAATGACCCAACCCTATTTTTGTATTTTCTTAATTATCTCCCTTGGAAGAAGACTTGGCCCTTTATTTTAAAAGTTTAAATTTCCCTTAACCCAAGGATGCTTTGTACCAAGTTTGGTTAAAATTGGCGCAGTGGTTCTTGAGAAGAAGTTGAAAATGTGAAAAGTTGACCGACGGATGGACGGACGCCGGACAACAGGTGATCAGAGAAGCTCACTTGAGGTTTAAGCTCAGGTGAGCTAACAAAAACTACTCATTATTTTAACATTATCCCCTGCATCATAGTTTATTCATCACATCAAATCCAAATTAAAATTCCTAAAATACTAAATGTGATTATAGAAGTTATAGTTTAAGAAAACATTTTTTCTGGTCCTCTGGAGAACAACATGTCTTCCATCAGTCGACCTGCCTTCATGAGATTCTAGATAGAGAAAACAATTTGAAAATGGATGCACAGATATATGCTGATTTTGCAGGCTCATTAACATTTGTCACCCAATATACAATCTAAATTGTTGTATCATACTCAGGTGACCATTTTCATTATATATTCAATAGAGCTCTGCCCTAGCACCACAACCCCAAACAATGTGGCCATGAATTACTAATTTTGGTAGAAAGTTCCATGCTTATTACAATGATGCAAACAGTTTGACTGCTTGATGTCCAGGGGTAAAGAAGAAGTAATTTAAAGATTTCATTCATTTTGACATGGTTTACACCGTCTCCCAAGCACCTGGAGGAGGCAAGAATCACAAAATTCACGCTGAACCTTTAAACGCACAACAAATTATGATGGACGAAAACATCACCAATCAAAAAAAAAAAATCGGGATAATTGACATTTGACACCCAATTTAAAATCCTATGTGGAAGTTTTTATTGACATTGACAATTGGCAAAAGGAACTTCAAGGTATTTAATGTTCTTCTACGACCAAGAGAGACCAATTTGTTAGAAAATATAATGTACAGGGGCTCGTAACATAAAGCTTGCTAAGTTTTTGACTTAAGTAGGGCCATAAGTACGGTTTAGGCACAATCTTAGGATCTGTCTAAGTACTACTTAACGACGTTCGATCCTGATATTTAAAGTCTTAAACTTTTTTTGCAAAGTATATTTTTAGTTTCTACATACATAGCTTAATTAAAATTCAAATCAAAAAATGGGGGTCAATACGCTTCTTTTGGCGCTACAGTACATTTAATATGATGACCTTTTTGCACTGAAATTTGTGTCTTAATCAAAAATTAAATTTTTGACGTTTTCCCTCCAATATTTTTATCCAATTAAAGCATGAAACAAAATGAACTCTTAGTGTTTTTTTAAAAAAAAAGACACTTTAAAATTGTGACTAAGAAAAAATTTCAAATTGCTTCGCATAATCAATTATTTGTCCTTTCTGCACTAATAAAATGTGATTTTTCCGGCACTGAAAATTTAATAAGCAAGAAAATTATTTTAAAGTCTTAAACTTTTTCTGATTTTAAGCAAATAGGTCAAAGGTATCTTGAATATTTAGAAAAGAACATCAAAAGTGGGGGTATATGATGTAAATTTTCAGACATTACTAAAAAAAGTGTCAATTTTACGTTAAAATTGACTAAATTTTTTCCCGGGTTTTCAGAATATATTTCCTGTATTTGTCACACTTTGTTGAAAGAATTCATAAGAAATAATTTAATAGATATTTCAGAACCAGCATAACACATTTCACTGCAAAAAACAGCTTTGTGTGCAACCAGTAAGGAACAATAGGAATCCAAAATTAAAAGTACTGCTATAGTTCTAAAGGGAAAAAACTGATCATTTTCGTCTAAAAAACCTTCCGCCACAAAATATAGTCCCTAGCTTAATTCCACTTAAATGAAATTTAAGCGTGGTTTTTTCATTGAATATAGTTCAATTTGCATTGTAGAATTCAGATTTAATGTTAGAACTTAAAAATGACGCAGAATTTTATAAATAATGGACATGACCAAAATCCACTCAAAAACTCAGGAGCCAACGTCCTTAAGTATGTCTTAAACCGTAACATAAAGCGAACTAAGCTAGGTCCTAGCTAAGTCGGACTTATGTTAAAAATATTTCATATGAGTCAACCTATAGTTTTTGATTTTATATAGATACATTGCTAAATGTGATTCAGTTAAGGTTTTAATTAATTACATATTAAAGTTGACGTCCTTACCTATCGGTTTAAGTTATGTTAGATTAGATTTCGTATTAAAATTATAATTATGTTAAAAACTATTCGGAATGTTAGAAAACAAATACTGCACGGTCAGAAAGTGGCGATTTGTGGTTCATTGTAAACGTTCACGACAATTGTTTATCACCTGAGATGTTTTCAGTTTACCTTTTGTATCTCTTTTGTTTTGATAAATGTTCACTTACCCTGTTATTATCGCAGACAAGAAAAGATAATCGACCGCCTATTCACTCGAAATTGAAACTCTAAAAAGTTCAATACATTTTGAATCCCCACTATGTATAAGGCCATGCAGGTCAGAAGCAAAAAATGCAGAAGTTTTATGATATACTCATTCGCAATATAATCAAGGATACAAAAAAAAAAAAAAAAAAAAATCGGGATATGTCTCATTCTCTTTCTTTCTCGAAATGTAGCCCTGTCTAAATCCGCGCTGGTCGCGTTCTACATTTATTCTATACTTTAAACAGATACTTTTTATTACTGTTATAGTCATCATCCCCTTTCTTTTCTGTTTTTAACAAATTATTTCAACTCATATTTTCAAAGTGAAATTACAGATCCATGATTTATCGCTGGGTACAATTTATAACTACCGGTATAACCGAGTTCCCACTAATTTCAGACGTATCCCTAAAATTGAATTTTGTGTTTACTTGTATGCTGTGTTTTGAGTGAAATTGGAATCGGTGATCAGCCCCCCCCCCCCAACGAAAAAATAAAATTCTTAAATCAGCGTCAAATAGAGATAATTATTTTCTTTAATGCATAATATGAATAGAGGAATCTTTTAACATCGAAAGTCAACATTAAATAATTCTAAATATATGTACAAGAAAGTTAAGATATACTTAAGTCACCTCTACCGGCCGCCTAAGTTTTGCTTAAGATTGGCAAATCTAAGTACGCTTCTAGTTACGGTCTTAAGTTTTAGACTGTACTTAAGTCCTACTTAAGCACGGTCTTAAACTTAAGTAGCCTTTATGTTACGACCCCCAGATCCATAAGCACTAGTATAATCCTTGCAAATATATAGTCTGGCCAAGTCTTAGTCTGTGGTAACTGACAAATGGAGGACAAGTCAGAACCTAATTTATGAGTTGTTACTGAATCCTAGACCAATTATCCTATTTCTCTAGCGTTGGGCAACAAAGCCAAGCTTTAAAAGATTATTTTGACTGGCCTAAGCAGCAAGTTGCGTGGGATACTAGTAAATTGTTGGGTTTTTTTTTTGTCCTTCAGTCCTTTCATACGCTATATACCTGTCAGCAGTTTGTCAGCACAACTCCGCTTAAACCTCTGCAGAGAATTTTGTCAAATTTTGCAGGTATTTAGGACAGTTTCTAGTTGTGTTTATACCAAGAAATTCCATTTCCATTATCTTCTAGGAATTTTGGTACTTTTCAACGTATGTCTTTTGCCATATCTTAAATATAGAGATGTCTCCGCAACGCTTTTGAACCCGCTGCACAGAATTTTGTCAAATCCTGCAAATACTTAGGACACACTGTGTAGTTGTGGATAATACCAAGAATTTATGACATTTTTTTTTTTAATTTTTGCACTTTTCAACGTACATATTTGGCCATATCTTGAATATAGAGATAAATTTGATCCCTTTTTCTTTCATTTTACACTGTAGGATCCTCTAAATTGTTGTATTATACTCAGGTGACCATTTTCGTTATATATTCAACAGAGCTCTGCCCTAGCACCAGAACCCCAAACAATGTGGCCATGAATTACTAATTTTGGTAGAAAGCTCCATGCTTATTACAATGGTGCAAACAGTTTGACTGCTTGATGTCCAGGGGTAAAGAAGAAGAAATTTAAAGATTCCATTCATTTTGACATGATTTACACCCTCTCCCAATGACCTGGAGGAGGCAAAATTCACTAGTTTTGTTTCCCTGTACTCATTGAGGCTATATGCCAATGGTGGTTGAAATTGGTTCAGCAGTTCCTGAGGAGAAGCTGAACCTTTAAATGCACAACAAATTATGATGGACAAAAGATGAAGAGGCTGAAGGTGATTCAATATTCAACTTTTTCAATATATATTTAAAAACTTTTTTCAGAGAAAAAAGAGATGAATTGTCTCAGATACATACTTTATTTCAATGACATACATTACACTACAATATACTACAAGCACTTTTGACCACTTTGTATCCTGGGATTGTGTTTTTAAGTGATTGGTCACTCACGACTTATAAAAATGACTAGATATTAATTAAACAGATTACAATTAACAGACATGAATAAGATACTGATCAATACAGGACAATAATTTTTACAATAAGTTTTATGAAAATAGGGGATTTATCTTAGTCCAATTTAAAGGTTTGTGGTGTTTTTAATAGAGAATGACTGATGAATTTGTTTTCCTGTGGGACTCTTCAAAATTACTTTGAAAATATAAATTTTTGGTTTGTTTATTATTTTTGCTCCAATTCTTCTGGAAATTTAAAAACAAAAAAAAAACCCTTTTCAGACTTTAAATAAAACAATTATTTCTGTATAAAAAAAACAGCATTAAGAGTGACACAAAACTACAATTATACAAAAATACTGATCTGACATCCACAAAGAGCATGACATATACATGAAATATCTCCCCTTGACACTGCTCAACTAGGTCACCAAAGCATCCCAAAGTATGCAAAGACATTACTGAGAATCATTTGATACAAATGCATACATGTTTGGACAGATATCTTAATGTGATGAAAAAAAAATAATTTAAAACAATACATCGGAAAAGCGCATCATCTTTGCTTTATAAGTGTAATGAGGAAATTGAAATGACTTTAAAGCACCTTGACACTCAAATTTAGCATATCTGTTGAGCTTAGTTACAAAAAGGGACCTGCTCCTAGAGCAAAAAGCTATAGGCTTTTTCATTTGAACTTCGGACTCATTCTGAAGAAAAGTGTTCATAAACATTGGATAAATACTTTAATCAAATTGGCCCAACCCAAAGTATTCCAGGCGTTATACAAGGGTGCAGAACAATTTCATTAAAGAAGCATCTCCCTAATTCTAACACAACATTTAAGCTATCTGATTAAACAATAATAGGTCTGAAATTACTGAGTGTGATTTAGTTGACCCAATTTTTCATCTTTAAACTCAGACAGACCTGCGCTATGTAAACATTCAAATATATTAATCTCTGTAACTGTTCCATATTTGAATAAGTAGACACAAATATGTGAATAACCTCATCAGACATCTATTATTTAAGTATTGGTAAGGTTGTCAAAAGTTTTTGTAAGGTTGTCAAAAGATTATGGCGAGTTTTAATAAATCTTTTTTATGCAGTAATACTAATTTTAGGAGAAATAAAATAAAACGGGTAAAAATAGATACAATTATGCCTCATTTAACAGTTCTAGAGGTAATATATCACTTTTCAATAGGCAGAATTAAGAGAAGATCAGTTATCAATTCATTTATATGCCAATGCATACAAGATTTCAATCAGTCACACTATACTAAGAATTTTAAGAGACTATTAAATATTTGATTAAGCCAGCATTATCAAAACACACACACATTCATACTCATAAAATTAATACACGCATGGATCAAAGTATGAGGCATGATTTAAGCATCTAATAAAAGATACAGATGCATCCCTATTCCACTCAGTAAACCTGTCAAAAAACACTCATTCAGCTTGCAAATTGCAACTCAGAAGCCCTCATAATGTGTGACCAAAAAAAAAAAAAAAGAAAAAGAAACGAAAAAAAAACAAAAACAAGTTGATTTCCTCTGGGAGTCATGATGTCAGTGTCAAGAAAGAGTATGTCCACTGATCAAAATCTGTCTGTATGCTTGGAATGTCACAAAGAACAAGTCCGAACATTATGGTGCATGTTTTTATGTTAAAAGGAAGGGGAGATGACTAGTGCACTAGCCAGTAACTGTGATAAAATTGTTCTCCACTCCATCATCTCCAGCTTTGGTGGGCTGAAAGTAAAAATATTGTATGTTCACATAATATATTAAAAAGTTGGACAATTTTAAAGTTTATGTAATAGTATTTTTGCAGTAACATAAATTAAGATATAGAGAAATTGTTCTGATTAGTTTTTATTTCAAATTTAAGATATAATACAGCAAAACTCATTAATAACAAACACACATACATTGTGAATTCATGGATATAGTGAAGTTATCTAGGATCCCCAGCATTGTAAACTTAATGAATTCCTAATACGGTTATAATGAATTACGGATATAGCAAAGTAATTTAACAGGTCCCAGTGACTTCGTTATAACCAGGTTTTACTGTACAGCAAAACTTTAGTAGGAACAAGGATATTGCCAATTTACGGATATAGCAAAGTCATCTTGGATCCCCAGCTGTATAAATTTAATGAATTTCTTTTACGGGTATAATGAATTACGGATATAGCGAAGTAATTTCTTAGACACCAGTAACTTCGTTATAACCGAGTTATGCTGTACTAGTACTCCATATATAGAAATCGAAACATGACCATGTATACTTCATGAGAAATTGTTTTAACAAACTTCTGACTGATATATGAGATAATATATATCATTATACTTGTGTATGTTGCTTCAATATATATATATATATATACCAATTTTGAGCTGACAACCCATTTCTCATCCACAATAAATTTGAACATGTACTCTCCCTTGGGTAGATCAATTTTGGTAAGAAACACATTATCACCACTGGGTAAAAGAAAAAAAATATTGTTAACTGGAGTTGTGAAGCAAAGTAAATTCAAAAAGTAAGCAAGTAATTTAAAAAACATTAATTCATTTATCAAAGCATATTATAACTCGAAGCAAGAGTAATCTTTCTTTAAACACATGAGATCCTATTATTAGATTAATTTATTTTACTTTTTCTCTAAAGGCACTTGTTCTTTCCAGTCATTAAAAGAACCTGAAACTTTAACCGTCTCTCCGTCCTCTTCCCATCTGAATTCAGTGGAAAATTTCTCACTCTGAAAAAACCAGTATCATTTAGTGGTATTCTGCACCACTTTTAAAAAACTCATGCTTAAAATCAATATTAGTCAACTAAATTAAAATATGATACTCTCTTTTTTCAATGATTTTTTTTCTTTTTAAGTCATGAAATGCCTTTGATACTAGCAGTCCATCTAAATTTAAAAACTGCTGAGGAAAGAAAAATAATTTTAAAATATTATGTTCACAGTTCAATGATAACATGTTTTATAAAAGAGTATCTCACAATATTCTCACCAATCAATATCAGCATGATCAGAACCTGCTAATCCTGACTTCTTTGAACAGAACTAATTTGAATGGCCACCATTATATCATTATAAATACACTTTAACATGTATTGTCCAAACAGATAATAATTGGGGAGGGGGGATACACACCTCATCATTTTCCACAGCATTCTGTTCAGCCTGTTCTGGCTCGGGTGCTGGGGGTTCTGTTGATTCTGGTTCAGATGCAGGCTTTTCTGGTTCAGCTGCCGGTTTTTCTGGTTCAGCTGCCGGTTTTTCTGGTTCAGCTGCCGGTTTTTCTGGTTCAGCTGCAGGAGTTTCTTGTTCAGCTTGTTCTGGTTCCTACAAAAAAAATCCCATATTGAAATACCAAGTAGGTGTTCACCTAAAATGACAGTAATACTTGTTTAATCTGGACCACATTGGTTCCAAAGAAATCGACCAGATTATGCAAAAATATGGATTTGATAAGAGTTGAAAAATTAAAATCTACTGCAAGGGACTAAAGTTTATATCCTATAAGACAAAAATTTGGATTATACAACATCCAAATTATACAATTGTTTTCTGTGCAACTGTAGACCTTTTATCATTGTAAATAGCTAGTTTCTTAATTCCCATATGACACCAACTTGATCAGTAGCTGCTTTCATATTATTGATAGGGACCCATTTTCATAATGCTCTTCAGAGTAAACTAGAACTGTCCAATTGGGACAAAATACCCCCCGCTGGGTTTTTATCAGAAGTAAGTTTTTCCATAATAAAGATATGTATCACACATGAATTATGAATCAAGTGACCTTGAAATTCCCAAAATGACCTTGGGTCAAGGTCATGACATACCCTTGGGTCATGGGCAATCTTTGTGTGAAATGAGAACCTACCAAGTTTATCAATAAGAAAGATATGGACCAGACATGAATTATGAACTTTTTCTTCCAGTGACCTTGAACTTCCCCAAATGACCTTGGGTCAAGGTAATGACAAACCCTTGGATCATGGGCAATCCTTGTGTAGAATGAGAACCTACCAAGTTTATCCATAAAAAAGATGTAGACCGAACACAAATTATGAACTTTTTCTTCCAGTGACCTTGAACCTCCCCAAATGAACTTGGGTCAAGGTCATGACACACCCTTGCGTCAAGGGCAATCTTTGTGTGAATTGAGAACCTACCAAATGTATCCATAAGAAAGATATGGACCAGACACAATTTATGAAAATTTTCTTCCAGTGACCTTGAACTTCCCCAAATGACCTTGGGTCATAGTCAGGACACACCCTTAGGTCATGGACAATCTTTGCGTGAAATGAGAACCTACCAAGTGTATCCATAAGAAAGATATGGACCGGACATGAATTATGAACTTTTTCTTCCAGTGACCTTGAACTTCCCCAAATGACCTTGGTTCAAGGTAATGACACACCCTTAGGTCATGGGCAATCTTTGTGTGGAGATGTAGATTTTAATGTCCCTCCATAAGAAAGATATGGACCTGACATGTTTGCACAGTGATTCCTATATACCCCCCCCCCAAACTTCATTTGCGGGGGGTATAAAAATGACACATATTGTATATAGATAGATTTATGAGACATTCCAGCTTTAGATTAATAAATTTTAGTTTAATAATTCTAGTCTAGTTGCATTTACAGAATTGTAGATGTTTCTGTGTAATACTGAACCTCCTACTGTAAAATCTCTCAAGCTAAAGGGACACAGTTTGAATATACACTACATGAGGTACTTGCATATTATGGGTAAAATGATTCATAGTGGCACAAATGTTCTCGTGACTTTTCTTATATTCTCCCATGTAACATTTGCCTCCCCTTCTATTGTAGACCTTCCATAGCCATTGGGGCTATGGCTTCAAAAAAAGAAAGACAATCTACACTACACTGGGATGCTTTCCTACCAATATGATCAATAATGCACAGGAGGATTTAGAGGGGTCCCCCCTTTTTGTGCCCCCAAAAATACAAAATATTTGATAAATGTTTTTTTTTGGTGTGGCTGTGGGCACGTACTCTGACCTCATACTGGTCCCCCCTTTTGAAAATTTCTGGATCCGCCACTGTAATGTACCCTATACAATTGAAAATATTTTCAATACGTTTCTGTGTAAAATGTGATTCCCTGTAATGGTTGCAGTGAAGCCTAGGGAAATATATTTTTAACAAAGCACTACTTTTTATACAGAAAAGCTTACTTGAGCTTAAAATAAACCAGAAGAAGAGTCACCTACACAAGTTTCTTTAGGAGCCTCGGCCTCTTTAGATTCCTCGGCAGCAGGTTCCTTTTTTGTTTCCTCCTGAGAGGCTGGTTCCGGTTCATCAGGTTTAGGGGTCTCATCCGGTTTGGGAGATTCGTCAGGTTTGGGCGTTTCATCTGGCTTAGGTGTTTCTTCACTTGGTTTTTCTTTGGATTCTGACTCTTTTTCCTATTGTAATATGATGTAATAAATATTCAATGTGATCAGACTTGTGAAATCAAATTTTGATTATATAAAATTGATTAACTAGTTACATAATATTAAAATTTAATTTAATTTAATTTTTTTTCCTGATAAATTTAAAAGGTCAGAATGAACGTCTTTCTTGATTTTATAATTATGTCTAAAATGGGTTTTAATATTTTTTTTTGGTCAGTAACTTCTTATTTTAGGTGGAACTAGCACTTGCCTAAAAATATGTTAGATGTGTTAAAAGCAATAGATATTGTAGAGTTTTCTGCATATTTATATATACTTTTTTAGTTCAAGAGAAAAAGACACGAATGTTATTTTTTGGATACAAGTATCACAATTTGTATAAATGAGTTAGAAACTGGAGAGAGATATTAATAAATAGAATACATTATATAAATAGAGATAAGAGTAAGCGCAATTTTTTTTTTCATTGCCAAAAAGTGTGTGATAAAAAGAAAAGTAGAAGATCTGAAGATTTAAGGAATTGTTTAGATATAAGTACATTATTTCAATAAAATCCACTCCCAAAACTACACTATAATATTTCAATGTGCTATAGCATCACACCATCAGCTACACATCAAGTTATGCTATTACAACATAGAACACTTAAACTGGTAAAAAATTGAAAAATAAAATCTAATCTACATTTATATGATTACAGTATTGCCAAATATTCAAGAGCTAACTCATAAGGCAGGTAAATTATTAAAATTTGCTGTTTTATCTTAACATTCTCCCTAAAACATCTTCAAACTGAGCTCATCCAGCTTGGGCAAATTTCCGGCTCTGCTCTATATACATATGACAAAATCAAAACCATAGGCTCCAAGTCTGTCCTCTTGGCATCAACATCAACATATCTGGCATCATAAGTTGTGTTTGGATGGTTGGTGTAAGGTCACACCTAAGTCATGGATAGGCCCAGCTCTATACTTTCTGGATCACTTGAATCACTTGTTCTGTGCCTCTGTGTTAACCTATCCAACCTTGACTTACCTTGGGAGTTTCAGCCTCATCCACCTCCTCCTGTACTTCTTTATCCTCCTCCAATTTTGGCTCCTCTGTTGAATCTTCCTCAGGACTTGGATTAATTTTATCTTGTTCAACTTCCTCTGAATTCTGTTCCTCCTCTGTTTCCTGTGGTTGTTGCTCCTGAGGTTGTTTTTCCTCCTCAGTCTTTACTGTGTCTGACTCTGACTGTTGCTGTTGAGCATCCTCGGGAACTTCTGGACATACAGCTTCCTCTTGACTAGGCTCTTCAGGTGCTTCTGAAGGTTCCTCTTGACTAGGCTCTTCAGGTGCTTCTGAAGGTTCCTCTTGACTAGGCTCTTCAGGTGCTTCTGAAGGTTCCTCTTGACTAGGCTCTTCAGGTGCTTCTGAAGGTTCCTCTTGACTAGGCTCCTCAGGTGCTTCTGAAGGTTCCTCTTGACTAGGCTCCTTAGGTGCTTCTGAAGGTTCCTCTTGATTAGGCTCCTTAGGTGCTTCTGAAGGTTCCTCTTTACAAGGTTCTTTGGTTTTCTCTTGGACTACCTCTTGAACTGATTCTTCAGACTGTTTTTCAGCTCCTGTAATTGGTGGTTCTTCCACCTGTTTGGTTGACTCATCTTGAATAGGTGTTGGTTCCTCTGAAACAATATCATCAGAACATTCCTTTGGTTTCTCTTCTTCTGAGGGTTTTTCTTCCTTGGTAGAATTTTCCTCCACTGGTTGTTTTTCTGACTCTTTTGGTTGTGTGTCATTGGATTCTAAAAGCTGCTCTTCAGCTTTTTCTTCAACTTTTTCCTCTTCAGATGGCTCTGGTTCTGCACCTAATTCTTCATCTTCTGGTTGAGCAAGTGGTGGACTTGGTTCTGCAGCACTGTCACTTTGAGCACACTGTTCACCTGCTTTGGTTTGATTATCTACTGATCCAGACACATTTTCAGATTTTTGTTCACTAGGAGACTGTGATGTCTCAGGGTCTTTTGATTCTTTAGCCTCATTTGTAGTTTCCTCTGACTTTTTCTCACTACCCTTTTCATCTGTTTTATCATTGTTTGTATTTTCTGGTGATTTCTCACTTGTATTTTCTTCTTTCTTTTCACTTCCCTGACAGAAATATACAGACAATGGGTTGACAAACATAGACACCAAATACCACAAAACACCAAGGACATTCATTGCCACATATTTCCATGGTGACTGGTAATCAGCGCCCAGTGGCACAAGTCCTCTTGATTTCTATAAGTATTTAAAATGAATCTTGTAAGGAATGAGCTCCAGCTTGTAACTATGAGTAAATTCCACTGTTTTGAATTTTGGTTGCTTACAGGTATGTGCTCAGGTTTTTATTTCATACATTGAATGGGTATGTTCCATAAGAAAGCCGCATGTGTATATCTGTTTGAAATGAAATAGCCAGGGTTTAAAGTTTCTAGATTCCAAAGTAATTTTTGTCGTCATGCTTAGCGTCATGAAAGATTTTCTTGCTTTGATTTTTGACATTAACAAGTTACTCAGTTAAGTGCTTTGTCTATAAGTAGAAAATTTATAAAGCTTCATGTTAAGCAATAAGAAAGGAAAAGAAAATGTTTGTTAGGCCTATTATGAAAATAAAGGATAATTTAACAGAAGATCTTTTCAAAGATTATTGTATAGTTTGTGAAAAAAGTATTGTTTGAGAGTACTTTGAAGATTAAAAAGATATCATTAGCAGAAACAGAACCAGCACCATGGAAATATACAAAAGCATAAGGTCCTTGTATACATGTAACACTCAATGCAAATTAACATATACATTGATACATTGATAAACATATAAATAATGACCACTACTAATTATTAGCCACAAGCTACCACTGGCATGCAAAATGAAAGATTCCCATTAAAAACCATTAATATAGAAAAGTAAAAGTTGAAATAAAGTAGAAAGCATGAAATGAAAACAGAAGTTTTCCAGTTTCTATTCTTATAAAGCATTTATATTTTGTGTGATGAGGTACCTTTGATTCTTCTTCTTTCTTCTCTCCCCCTTCTCCGCCATCACCTGCTTTGTCTTCTTCCTTTCCATTGGCTCCCTCTTCTGCAGTTTTGTCTTCTCCGCTCTCATTGACTGCTTCTTCCTTTTTTTCTGCTTGATCATTGGTTGCTTGGTCTTCTCCTGTTTTGTTATTTTTTTTCTTGCCTTTTCCTGAGGAATTTCCCATGGTTGTTCTTTACACAATATTCACTATCTACAATAAATTTTTAAAGATCACATTCACTTTTTCAGAAGTTAATCTATACAAAATCTGTGCATGGACTTACTAATTCCAATTATTGCCACTGCTATTGGAAAAGAATTACGCTCAAAAGTATTACAAAATCCAAGGGGGAAAAATAATTCATCCAGCCTACATTCCTTTTTCCAATTCAGACAGTTTTACATGAAGTGAATTAGCCTCCAGATGTTGAACTATGCAAACAATGCAGAGGAAAAATGGGTCACATGTTTAAAATCTGGATAAATATACCTAATAATATCTCATAAATCTGGGGGGTTGTTTAAAAAAGAGGGTGCAAGTCAACCATAGAGAATCCTAACAGTGTGGTTCTGGCAATCACAGGGATGTACTGTTGACTTCACTTTTACTGGAGTGAGCACAGTGTGAAAGAATTTTCTGATTATGTAATGCTCACGATAAAAAAAAAACAGCTTTGATTTTTAAGAAGCTATTTCTTCTGCCTAAAAAATGAATGTGTACAAGATGCAGTTTTTTGATGATAAATAATTTAGCTTGAGCTGCATGTCTGAAATTTATAGACAACATTTAACAAGTCTAAGAGAATCTCCTTTGCAATGTGCTCTGCAGCATAACAAGATATCCTTCCATGTTACGGTGCTAAATGCAACATCTTTAGCTGATTAAGGCACTTGACACCAGACAGAACTCATATGTTTATTTAAGCACTACACACCTTTAAACTGATTCCCTTAGTCTGTTTGTAATCAATTATAAAAACCTAGTAAGCAAACCTTACCAGAAATTTTAACTTTTTGAATTCTTTCTTGATTTTCCTGACAATATAAGCATCTTTGGTTTCCAAGGAAACCATACTTGGAAACCAGATATCTTATCTTGTATTTCACACAATATTACATGGAGGAAAAAGCAGAGTACATTTGGTGTAATTTAGTTTGTTTTATTCACATCAAAATCAATATAAGTATTCAAAAGATATTATTTTTGAGATCACATTACAACTTTGTTCATCTATAAACAGTAATTTATTGTAAAATTAATTTGTATGTTAAATTATATTTTAACTGTCTGGCCTAAACATAGACAGGTAAAGTTCACTTCAATGAATGTAATCTATAATAAGTAAGGCAAAGTCTCTATGCCAATTAAATGTTCTGGTAAAGTGCATACCTACATTTAGATGCTTATTCTTACATGTAGGCTTGGTCTGGGTAAGACTTATAGTAACTTGGTAATGATCTACTTTTACCTTGGATAAAGTCTTACATTCTTACAATAAAAAATATTAGAACCAGGTTAAAATTATTCTTGTCATGCACATCTAGCATGCTGAAGTAGGAAATAGGCTGTCTCTAAAAACCTAAGCTGTTTAAGTCATTCAATAAATGTAGATCCAATGCAGCATTCAAAGCAGATCTGGAAGTGTGCATCCCTAGATGCTTCATCTATGCAAGTTTAAGCTATGTATAACATGTAACATATATAATTACATTAAAATGGACATGCTACAAAAACCTTGACTTGTTTAATTATTTGGAAAATATAAGATCAGATGCAGCATCTGAAGAAAGTCTACTTGTGTGTATTCCTATATACACATTCAAGCTTGTTTGGTCTCCTTCATTTGCTAGTCAAAGTACCTACTCTAAAGTTAACTCAACAAACTCACTAATCTAGAAAGTAGTAAATGTAGGTCAGACCAGCATCTTTAGTGTGCCTGAATAAAAGTATCTTCAATGCAAGGTTGGACAACATAGGGCTCATGATCACTTTAGAATTAACCTGCTCCAAAAACTTCATCCTGTTGGCTCAACAAGAAAAGGGAGGTCAAATCCTCCATCAGAAGCAAGTCTGGTAGTGTGCATCCTCAGATGTATTATTCCTGAAAGTTAAGTGTATTTAGGGCTTACACATGTATGGTAACAGTTCCTTGGAAATGAGACCTGCTCCAAAAAATATGAACCTGGTCATTCTTTAGTTAAAAATGCAACATCTGAAATGTGGACTGATACAGTGAAACACAGTAAAAGCATAGTCCATGCATCAACCATAAATGGGCTGAAGAGTCCTTGAAAAAAATCTGCTACAATAACTTAAACCTGCCTAAGATGCCAATGCTGAAGGTGCTACATAAGCTCTCCCTTGCTTTGTTGGGGTGAGCTAAAATTCTGCATTTTTAAGCAATATAATGAACCTAACTTTAAGATTTATTGAACATATCAATATCATTTCTGTCTGCTTCATGGCAAATGGCCAGACTATCTCCTGGCCTGATTAGTGTTCTAAGGTCACCACACATTTGGCTACTATGGTAACCTTTGGGATTGCCTTAGTGAGGTCACTTAAGAAGTAGACAGTCAATATGACTGATGCTTTGCAGAGCAGACGACCTCATGCAGAGTCTGCTGTTAGAAGCTCCCCAGTAACCTGTTTAATAATTAATCAACTTCCATTAACACTATCAGACTCAAGAATTTTACACCAAGATAACATGGAACAATAATGTACCAATCAGCAAATTAGAATCCCTAGTGATTAAGATTTATTAATCACTTGGAAAATTTCTTTTTATTTATATTGAATTTATTTAATCTGTTACAGTTGATGTCAGAATGTCACTCAGATGGGTTTTATAAATTCCTATTGAAATCTGGAGAATGAAAATATTACAGGTATACATATGAAGTCTTATCCTTCAATTTGTTAGAAAGCATAGATCAGTCTGATCACATATAGGTATCATCTATTCATCTCACTCTAAAAGAAACATTTGCTTTCCCTTCCTCAGGGAGACATTGATGGTTTGTTTGCAATCTAAAGAGAATCAAAGGGTGTGTTCTTTAATCCAATTGGAAAATAATGCCCCCTCCCCCCCACACGCAGTCACCTTCAAGAAAATTGAGATTCAACTTGGGTAACTATTAAGTTAATTCTTTATAATTTAATTTTTCTATCAATTAGTGTTTAAAAAAATATCTGTAAGTCATTTTTTCCCTTAAAATGCCTTCTGAAATCAGATTTTATACAAATGTCAAGTGAATTCATATGTTTTTGACACAAGTAAACACAGTTTATAAGGAAATAAAGTGTTACAACCATAATTAGCTTTAATCTAAAAGAAACAGAGTCTATTTACATTTTTCTTAAACAACAGGAAAAAAGGGCATGGCCATCCAGCTCATATATTTGCGAGAACTACATGGAAACTGCCCCCCCCCCCCATTTCATTCCCTTTTCCTTCTGTTACATTAACAACTCGGAATAAGTACACATTCTCAGGTATCAAACTCAATATCAGGAATGTAACAAGAGGCCCAGGGGCCACATTGCTCACCTGAGCACATCCGCTTGGAAAAAGCACAAATTAGATCAGATTGAAAAGTTTACTGAGGGGGTGGGGGGGATTGAATCCTAATACTACTTGAGAATGCCTCCATATCAATACTGCCTAAAACTTCTTGAGAAAGTTCTTGAGAAAAATTTAAACATTTTGTTTGTATATATTAGTTTGTAACAATTTGAATTTGACTCCACATTGTTTCCCTATTCCCTGTTACCCCAAAGGGTATTCATGATTTGAACAAATTTAAATCTTCAATACATGAGGATGCTTACATGTCAATATGACTAAACATTTTTTCTGTTATTGGGATTTTTCCCTTTATTTTCCTATGTAACACTTTGATCCACCATTGAGACCCTTCCCTACCCTTGGGGGTTATGATTTGAACAAATTTAATTCTACACTATCTGAGGATGCTTCCATATAAATATCACTAATCATGGCTTTGCTATTCTTTAGAAAAAGATTTTTTTAAAATATATTTTAATGAAAACCATGGATCCCCCACTGTGGCCCCACCCCATCCCTGGAGGTTATAATTTGAACAAACTTGAATCTACATTACCTGATAATGCTTCTTTATAAATATCACAAATCATGGCTTTGCAGTACTTGAGAAGAAATTTTTTAAAGATTTATTTATGTAAAATCGGCCATTGTCTACCCCCCATGATTTGAACAAATTTGAATGTACACAACCTGAGGATGATTAAACATGAGTTTCATCTTTCCTGGCCCAGTGGTTCTTGAGAAGAAGATTTTTTTTTAAAATGCCATTAATTTTTCACTTATTCATAATTATCTCCCCTTGGAAAAGGGCATGGCCCCCAAACTTGAATCCCCTTTACCTTAGGATACTTTGTAGCAAGTTTGGTTGAAATTGGTCCAGTGGTTCTTGAGAAGAAGATGAAAATGTGAAAAGTTTACAACAAAGACAATGACGACAGACAACGGACAAATTTTGATCAGAAAAGCTCACTTGAGCCTTCGGCTCAGGTGAGCTAAAAAAAACAAATGAACAAAAAACAGTATCATGTTCAAGTGAAAGGGGGTTGGGAGAGTGGGGAGAAATATAGTTCTGCCCTTTAACTTGTGAAAGGTTTGTTTAACCTTTGTACAGGGAAGTTGAGGGATTTTACACCTAAAGGAAGATATTTGTAGTATGAAATGTAAAAATACATGTATAACAATCCTTTTCTTTACAAGGAAGATAAATAAAATAAATTACATCTGTTAGAAATGAGAATTAGTGCACCATGAAAATTTAAAAATTTGTGCTAGGGTTAGATGGAATCCTGTGTATTGTTTAGAAAAGATAATGCTACTTTTCCCTTATGTTGAGGGGTACTTCAGCAGTATGTGAATGGAATGCAGATGTGAATTTATTATAATCAATAGAAAATACTGATGTCAGTGACTTAGAATCAAACTAAGACCAATGCACCTATCATATTGAGGTCATATATATCATAAAACTCATCAGATATTTTTTCCCATTGGTCATCTTCCTAAGTGAGAAAATATACAAGATGCACTTGTTTATATGTTGTACACTACTCCCATACAACTTGCAGCATGCACATCAGAGTAAATTAATTCAATGGCCTTGCTTGTGGGAATGTAATTTTTCACTTTATTTACACAAAGATAAAACTACCAGATAAAATATACTTGCATGTATCTGCATGACCTTAGTAGAAGTACAGCCTACAGTCTATACAACATATGTTCTTGGAAGAGGGGGGTGTCATTTACTGCAAGTTTACTGTTGACAGCATTACATCCCAATATATGAATCTCATATATACATATATTCCAGTGCAGACATATGCAATTTTTCACTACATGTATCTTTAAAATTTTATTCATATATTAAAGCCCTTTGAATGCGTCATAGACATAAATCTACAAATTTTAATCATATTTCACTTGACTCAATTCTTTATACTGATTACATAATTTATTTACTTTACATCAATCACAAGATTATCATATAATAATCATTATGTAAATGATGCAATTTCGATGTTACTTTGATCTATGTAAATTACAGGATATCTGATGATAATACTAGGTTCTTCTAGACGTTAACATGGTTAATCTCATTGCCTAAATACCATCAGATTTTTCCAGGAGGACTATAATATAAACAACTTTTCATCTCTCAAACCTCATATTTATCAAAACTTTGTAATTAAAAAAGAGTAAAGAAAATTTTATGAATACATGTTTTTCCTTTTTGGGTTTGGGGGTTGGGGGTGGGGGGGTGGGGGGGGGTAGTATTATTTCTGTTTCAATAATTTCATGGTATGTATGTGTTAACATGCCCATAATATTCCAATTGCAAATTGGTCTTTAGACATAAGGCCCATTCCCATTTTTTCATTAGTTTATTCAAGACTACTACACATCAGTCACTTTATGCATGCTTCAGAAAAAAAATTGGTATACAACTTAGATTATGAGCTTAAATTATAGCGAAGTCAATTTTGTTGTGACAAAATTTGTGAGCCATTAAAAATGACCAAATATTTTTACAGTAATGTGGTGTGGTTGTTCCTTTGTAATTGCATTAGAGATTGATTTTACAGAGTGTGGCCCAAAACCATTCTCTGAAAGTCAATATCTTCACAAATTTCTGAATACCAATCCACAAATGCCACAAATTGATCTGAGGAAAAATATCAAGCCTTTTTACTAAAACATCCAGCCTTAAACCATGAAACATGTGTATATTGGCATAGTCTTTTGTCAGAATCTTAGCAAGCTCATTTACTGTAACTCTTTGAAGGATAAAAAAAAGTCTCCAAATGCAAATTACCCTAAAGAAATGGATGAAATCTTCAGTCTAAATCATTGCTTCACTGCACCAACACTGAACTTTCTTATGTATTTGTCAATGACAAGTATATATTGGAGTTAAGAATGTACATTTCATGCATGAACATACCTAGTATAGATGTGTGTAAATTAAATCCTAATCCTTTTTCACCTTCTCTTCCTTCTCAGGACAGAAGGCAATAACCAAAACACACTTTTTTTCTTATTCTGAAAATAAACCCATAATGTAAACTTTAGTGGAAAAACAACAACAACAAAACAAAGTTCTTCCTGTCAAAATTATAAATGACCCAGGTCATCGCAATCAAGAGCTATTGGCCAATGAATGCTGGGGTTACACCTACAAAAATAATAGCCTCTGGTATACAGGTATATAGTCACTGAAAATGTGGGTGAGTGACCCAGAAAGTCATACACAGTGAATGCTGAGGAGGTTTTATCAGATTGTAAATCCTCACTCTCCATTCCAAGATTCCTTTTTCACATCTGTTCATCATCAAAAAAAGTTTTCATTATAAATGACTCTCTCATGTAGCAACATTCCTTCATGAGTAACTGGAGGAAAAAAGGGGGAGAGTTTCCTCCCAGATGTGACCTTTGTCCTCCTGATCATATCCACACATAAAGGAAATTATTGTCTCCTAGAATAGAAGCAGTATTTATGGATTACTTTGAGGGCTTACTGATCTATGTATAGAATGATTTTAACAGTCAGCCTTGTCTTTTTTTTTAAATTATGCACTGAAAAAGGATCATACATACTTGAAAGTGTTTTTCATTAAAAATTGTGCCATTTTTAAAAATAAGATCACATGTACTCCTTCAAATAATCATCAGTTTTGGTTGAAAAAAAACTTTTAGGCTGTCAAGACAGAATTTTTGCCTTGGTACAAACACAGTATATATTTTGCTTGATTCAAGGCAATATTCATATGGAAAGGCATTACAAGTATCTATCATTCATTTTATCTGTAATAAATCTGTGAAATTCAAGAAATAATAAATACTTTTGATTAATCATCAAGCTCATTACTATATCATTCTTCAATAAAGCATGTACTTTTCTCATGTGAAGAGAATCACTGCTTTTATTAAGATTTAATGGCAAGTAAAATTGTTTCCCTTTTTGATGAGCAATTCCCAGATATGATTCCTGACATATTCTAAGTCCCAAACATCTGTCTGCTGTCTGGAGGAGGGGATCAGTTACAATGGGGGCATGTCAGGGGAACCAACACAATGTGGAATAAATCTCTCCCTCATACAGCACTGAGCCACTGATGACATGACCGATAACATCCCAGACTACCAAACTGTGGAGGTTTAATTCTCGGCTCAGAAATGACAGCTGAGAGAAAGCACAAATGAAGTTGGATGGTAGAGTTAATTGTTTACTCTTATCTTCAACCACTGTACACAATTTGGTACAAGATCAACAGCTAAAGCTCTTTAATTGTGCACAAAACATGTGATTATAAATGTTGGGATATTACATGCTGAATTCTGAGTCATGAATCTCATTGAAATGAATTCAGCTGAGGAAAAAAGTTATCAATCTAGAACTAACATGCATATGTCATTAATAGGGATTACATGGCTCAGAACTTCTGTTTTTCAGCCAATCCTAAATAAAACCTGCCAAAATAACTGAAAGACAAGATTCACTGTTGATACACATGGTCTCCTTAGACAGCCATTAAATTACAACATTCCTCTAGTGCACTATCTCTAATCCCATGATTGTTCTTTTGGGGGATTTCAATCAACTTTTTTCATAAAATATTTTTATTAGTATAGTATATAAATTTTACAATAAACCAGAAGTCTCTGTCGAGACTGTAGCTCTACTGGTTTGTACTTATAATAAAGAAAGAGAAAAGTAGCAGTAAAGACTTAAAACTTTACAAAAGCAATAAATAGAATAATGATCCTTGATTAATCTCTTTTTCAGGCAAGATTGCCATAAGACAAAAACTGTAGGAGTAGCTTTTAATAAAATTTTACAGAATTTTCAATTTAAATTACTATGACAACATAAGTCGTTTCTCAGTGTAGTCTGCTTGTGTGCCAAGTTATATTAAAATCAGACCAAAACTGAAGGAGGAGTAGTATTTTGAATGTATTTAAAAAATTTTTCTATTCTTAGTAACCACGGCAACACCATTCATCGAAATCAAAAACCGATACACAGAATTATGTATCTAAGTGTAGTCTACTTGTGTGCCAAGTTATACTGAAATCAGACCAAAACTGTAGGAGGAGTAGTATTTTGAATGATTTTCACATAAATTTCTATTTTTAGTGACCACGGCAACACCGTTGGTTGAAATCAAAAACCGATACACAGAATTATGTATCTTAGTGTAGTCTACTTGTGTGCCAAGTAATATTGAAATCAGACTTAAACTGTAGGAGTAATAGCATTCTGAATGATTTTCACAAAAAATTCTATTTTTAGAAACCATGGCAACACCGTTCATTGAAATCAAAAACCGATACACAGAATTATGAATCTTAGTTAAGTCTACTTGTGTGCCAAGTTATATTGAAATCAGACTTAAATAGGAGAAGTAGCATTTTGAATGATTTTCACAAAAATTTCTATTTTTAGTAACCACAGCAACACCGTTCGTTGAAATCAAAAACCGATACACAGAATTATGTATCTTAGTGTAGTCTACTTGTGTGCCAAGTTATATTGAAATCAGACTTAAACTGTAGGAGAAGTAGCAATTTGAATGATTTTCACAAAAATTTCTATTTTTAGTAACCACGGCAACACCGTTCATTGAAATCAAAAACCGATACACAGAATTATGTATCTTAGTGTAGTCTACTTTTATGCCAAGTTATATTGAAATCAAACCAAAACTGTAGGAGGAGTAGCGTTTTGAAAAATTGTTTACAGACGGACAGACAGACAGACAGACAGACAGACAGACGGACGGACGACGGACGCATTACTATCGCATAAGCTCTTCTGGTCTCTGACCAGTAGAGCTAAAAATATATTAGAAGTAACAATTACCTAATACTAGATTTCAACAAAAATATAGAAATAAAATGGCATGTTATAAAATCATCAAAGAAATGAAAAAAAGAGAATTACCTGTTAAATTAAGAATGTTCCATTTGTTTATATTGTTGGATGTGTAAATTACATGTAGATACGCTGCAGCTATGAGTGACAGTTATCTGTTGGGAAGGTGTAGAGACATGCGTTATCCCTCGCGATAACAAACAACTTGTCTGATATCATTATCAATTATCTTATTTACGTCTTGGTCAAAGAAAAAATATTATAGCCTAAAAAATGGGTGAAACAATCTTTCCTTCTCAATATAACTCATGTAACAATTATAAAACTTGTTTACGGAAAAATGTGTCCTTCCCTAAGTTTTGTATTAGAAAATAATCTTATTGGCAAGGAAATTAACAGCTCTAAAAGGAAAACAAGTTTGTAAATATGTACTTCATTTCCAAGGACTTCTTTATAGCATATGTAAGGAGGCATGTATTAAAATGATCTACATGAAAATTGACAGTAAACATATTTCATCAGATTTATAACGAAGGTTGAAAAAGAACTCGATAAAAAAGCATTTATAAAAAGCTATTTATAGCAATCTTTCCATCTACCACAATGTGACACTATAATCTTGATCATCGACAGGCATAAATCACATGTCTACTTCACTAACATCATGCTCTCGATGTTTGTCCCTATATAATCATGCTGACCCATAGATCACTATCAGCTGCTGAACTAAGCTTTCATTTGACTCTGGAGCCTAAGGTCGCAAGGGAGAGTAAACATTTAGGGAGATGGCTAAATGAGTTTTTAGTTACACTGATAAACCACAAACTATTGATAGCAGATAATTACGAGAATGAGTCATGTGACATACTTGGTGCTGATGAGTTTTTTCCTGAATATCATCACTTGACCTTTGATTTGAACTCCAGTTTGGATGCAAGGCATGATGAGTAAAAGTGAACAGGATAGGTCAGAGAGCTAAATCCATATTGGAAGTAATGATAAATCAACAAATCGTCAAAATACTACTGACTCACAGATAACTAAGTATTCAGAATACAGTCATAAAACTTGTCTATAACTTGACAATACAATATGAATGGAACCTCAATCACAACTGTAAATCATGTTGGTGCTGTACAACCCCCCCCCCCCCCACCTTCTCCTTAGTCCCCAACACTGAGACTCATTTTACCTTTTATGATTACAATATTCAATTGTAACAGCTACATCACAAAACAGGAAGAAAAATGGCCAGTCTGGAGCTTGAACCCAGGATCACCCACCAATCAAGAAGGACCTTATTCTACAGACTGAGCAATCAGAAGATCTGACACACACATTTATTTTTCTATATATTCGATCAATGCATACTATCTTTGCAAGATATATAACTGTATTCAGCGGCAGCTCACACATATTGGTCCGACCAAAATAATTCCATCATGATAAGTAGATACAACATTATTGTTCATGATAAGAGTAAAGTTGTGTATGTTACGTTAAAGAAATCAAAAATAACGTCAAAATATCATTAGAAAGTCACTTTCCCCCCGAAATGCAAATAAAAAATATCAATATTCCTACGCTCACTCCCTCCTCAGCCTTTTTTTTTTTACGTGTTTGATAACAAAGAATAATTAGGTCATTCTTCGAATCTTTTCACCAATGAATTGATAATACTATATCAACAATTGTATTAAGTACATGTTTATAGTCCGTTAATTATCATACAATTTGTTCTTAAAGAAAAAATTAATCATTCTGTGTGTGTGTATTATTAAATGACGGAATTTTCAATCCCTGGCCTGCTCGAGCTCGTGTGTACACTTTGTAAACTGTAGGGTATGTGTGGCAAAACGAGAACTGCATGGGTTGGAGATTCGGGTTCGTGTTGAAGTTCAGCATACCATTATATATAGAACTTGAATAATGTAAGTAATTTCTGCGACAAATATATTAGTATATTTCAGTTATTTTCAAAACACACATAGAATTTTCCGACCCGGTCCTGATTTTTTACCCGGCCATTTTAAACACAAGTTGTTGCAGATGCAAATGTTAGAACAAACAATATAAAGTTCAACAGGGATTGTATAATTTTTATTAATCAGAATTCGTATTTATATGATCTAATTAAGAAAAGAAAAGTTTTGTCTGGCACCGTAAC